GGGGGCGCCTGGGCAACCGGCTGCGTAGGGGGAGGGGAACACGCAACGCGGCGTACGTGTTCTTTCCTCTCAAAGGCGAACCTCAGCTGAAAGGACCAGAGTCGGCGAGGCAGAGGAGCGAACTTCGTGCTACAGCCGCATGCTCTCCCCTCGACTACATAGGCTTCTTCAAGGGTATAAGGCACGATAATTTGGTAATTGCTCGAAAACGGTTAGTAGGGGTGCTATATAAAGGAAAAATGGCGAAAGAGTGAAGTCAAACGATCAAAAACCTGCGGCAAAAGCAACGTTCTGAAGGCTTTGGACGAGCATTTTTGGACGAGTTTCCCGTTGGGTCATGCCAACAACCGCTTTGATGGATGCGACTGCACGTATGTGTTCATATATCCTTGTAGCAACGCCCTGCCTCAATTGTACTTCATGAATGATGCGAAAAGAGCATTAGCGTCGATGTGACTGGGCGCTCGTTTGTGGGCGGGCGGTTGCGGTGGGCGTCTGGATGCTCTTAGTTAACCGCTATAAACGTATGCCGTCTTGGGGTTGGAAAATGTGTTGCTAAAACCTGCGCCATTGCCACTGCTTTCACATTTTCCCCACTGCGGTACGATTTTTTTTCAAAAAATGTTCATTTGCTCAGACCAAGTTAAGTATTTCATTGAGTAGACGGCGGGTCCTCTCTACTTTTGTTCGTGACATTCATCCTCGTCTTCAGAAGCTACCAGTTCCATAGCCATATCGCAGTTTCTTCTGCAAATAAACAATTCAGGAAGCGATTTTTGGTAGATAGCTAGGGCCACGCCCCCAAATTATCAGTCTTCCGCGATTTCTTCATGATTATACCGAACAGTAGTCATAAAATTAAACGGTCATAAATGTCTGAAGCGATTAAGGGCTTGAAAAAAATCTGCTCGGACTGCTTTCCAAGGAAGCTCGCTTTTGAAGCAGTGATAAGCGATGTATAGGGGTCGGATTGGACCAGGGCACAAGATTTTTTAGGAGGAGCAGCAAAAGGTTCCTCGTGCAGGAGTGAGGTCCAAGTGATGAGGATGTTGTTGGATCTAAGCTTGGAGAGAAACAAGAAACAGATCGTGGTCAAGCAGTTTTTGTGCAGAGGGCTTCGGACCACGGTAAAGTCAGCTAGCCTAAGGAGCAGTGAAAGCTCCTCCTCCTTCTTCCTCACGCCATTTGTCTGTGCAATAGCCAGCGTGGTTTTATAATATTCGTTAGCATCAGTGGAATACATCAGAATACCCAAACTTCTCTCACAGAATTCTCGATGACAAAAGTAGCTGGGAAATCGGGTCTACGGGCTTTTGTCAACCGCGGCAATGGGTGACTCAGCAATTTGTCGCGTCGTCGGTCGTCTCGCACACTCTCGTCGACGCTGCGTCTCCGCTTAGAAAGGCTAGAGCGTAGACAGAAAGGCATCCACCGATCCCGATTGCCGACGATCACCAGTTCACGTGATTGTTGCGTGCTTTGCTCGTGTTAGGTCACTCTCCGATGCTAACCATTCGTTAAAAAAATAGGAAATCAAGAAGATCTTAACTATAAGAAGGAACTCAGTCCTTCTCGCTTCTTACTTCAAGTATTATTCTTGAAGTGGAATTGGTGTTGTTGGAAAACAATTGTGGGAATACCATGCGATTCATCTTTAACCGTTACAGACCCAAAAGCAACGGGAACGCAGCGCATTTGTTCTCTCGTTCAAGAGCTGGGAGGGAATGAAAGGGGGTGGTGATCTATTGACCAAGAGTTTTGTTCTGCCATACGATTCATAACACTGCATTTATCAGAGAACTTTTATAACCAGTATAAGTTGCGGCACAGTAGTGCGGATATATGCGATACCGAATATTAGAGAATTCTCAAAGTGAGCAACTTGTGGGAAGGATGAGCGAGTACAGAAAAAACAATAAATGGATATTTCCACAGTACAATAGTACGGATACATGTTAATAAACATGGAATGTAATGGGCAAGTATGAGATCCTACATGCTACACTAAACGAGACGAGTTAGGGAAGGACAAGTATGAGTTCAAACAATATTATGGAATCAGTTACAACTAATGAGCCAGTCTTCTAGCCAGAAAATCTAAGAAATCTTTGCAATCTCTCGTGGTGGGAGGGACCCCACGAGAAATGTGGGTTTCACTGAATCTTCGAAGTTCAGCAGTGATTTCTTGTTGTCCCCACACGCCGAGAGTTGCTCTTCCTGTGGCCTGGTGTAAAGCACGCGAGCTCCCTCTTCTGCTGGTGCAATGAGTGCCTTTCCAATCGCCAGCTGGCTCTGAATAAACAAAGAGCATTTGTCTGAGGGTTGGGATACCCCTTGGGAATGTCGCCCGTATTTTTGTGTGGAAACCTTCTGCCACGTTGGTGGTCCGCATTCCTAGGTTACGCGAGTGGTCCCACAACCCGGAAAATCGCCCTCCGCTCCCCCAGTTGTCATGCCAGTACCCTAGAAACTGGAGAAGCCCTGCGTGCTCCAAAGGCGTGATGGCAGGCGGTTGTGGGACGACGAGGGCCTCTGATATCCTGTGGAATTGTGGGTGTAGTAGAGGCAGCATCTGAATACGACGGAAGAAAGTGCCAATTATTGGGTTTTTTGCTGCCGCCGCTTTCAGACGCAGCACGTCTCGATGACGGAGGATGGCTTGAGTGTAGTGGAAGAAGCACCTGAAATAATAGAAAAAATTATGAGTGACTTTGCAATTACTGCGATCTTACCCCTTCACTACGATCGGCCATTTCGATGGTCGCCGCGTTGATTGCGGGGAGTTCGAAGTCGAATAAGAAGGTACACGTTGGGCAACACTGCTCCTTGACGACCGATGTGGCACCAGAAGATTCCAAAGGAAGCCGAAAAGTGGCGATATACCCTGTTATCCGTCAAGTCCCCATCCGCCCGTATGAATGCAAAACAAACAAGGTAGATAACGGCCCCCTCATTAAAGACACCCAGAAAGGAGTAAAACTGGGAGGAGGCTCCCCTTCTCAATTGGGCCGGGATCTGTTTGTAGCGGCCATCACACTGAAAAACAAAAAGCGGGGAAACGAGCGCATCAATTCACTTCGTTGGCATTTTTATGGAATTTTGCTTACCGTGACATTCGTCAAAGTTAGCCGCCCCAACGCAGCCGCAATCAGCGATGGACTACCAAAGTACGCCCTGTTGGGCTCGTCGAGCAGAATGAAGCTCTCATGGTCGGCGGGGCACCTGCAGCTCGTAGGATCCTGTAATTTTCTAGAGGGAATAGTGTGGGATGGGTGTTGCTGTGAAAATACTTCAGATTTACAAGTTGCCCTGGTGCCATGTCTCCGTCTGCCCTTCGTCTAGCTGTCGTTTGTGCTCGACAGATCACTCGCCGAGTGTTATCCCTTCCACGATCTGTCGGCTGGATCACCTGCTCGACCATTGCGCGCCTCTCCGGCTCGGTGAAGTCACCTGAAAGTGTGAGCCTTTTTAGTGGTATTCATATGCAGGAAACCTAACAAGATCTTTTCGCGAACTTACTGAATCTATCCGATGAGATTCTCGAGAGGAGCTCCGCTACCTCTACCGCCGGTGGCTGCAGCCTTTCAGGTTCACTTCCTCTGATTTCCATGCACCGTTCTACTATAAGGCGCCGCGCGAAAGACCTGGGTGTTGATCGAGGCTCACAGAAATGATCATTTCGTGGGTGTATGGGATCCGTGATGAAACGACCATTTAAAATGTGGCATATTGGATGGGGTCCGGATGAGCCTGTCGATCCGCCGTTTTCAAGGCTCTGCAGCCAGAACACATGTAGAGGTAGGTGTGTCCATCAGCGAGTCGTTTCTGATAGTGCCACTCATAGCAGAGTTCGTGGTCGTCCGGGAATATAGCTACTGCTATGTCGGCTCCTCCTTGTCGCTGTGACGGGACGAAGTTGGCTTCGATAGGCTGGAATTCCATAGCAGCACCGTTTCGTAGCAGTAAACTGTTTGAGGATCTACCGAAAGTCTGTGCCCCTTATATACTATATTTCAAACGACCGGAAGTGACCAGGGATTCACTCAGAACCGCGCTACCGGAAGTCTACCAGAGATTCGAACTCAAGACCGCGCTCACCACTCGGTCCTGAGCTCGAAATCCTGGTTGACTTCCGGTCAACTTCCGGTCGATTTCCCGCTCAGGCCAACCAAGCCTTCTACCCTTCCCCATAAATTGGTAGGAGTTTCGTTTGAGAGGATAATAACACTGATTTGTACATCGGCTGACCCCCGCAAGTCATTGTATAGGCCACATCGCATTCAATGAGCCACTGCGACTCTGAATGGAAGTAGAATGCGTGCCGCAACCCCAGGAAGTAGATCATGCGTGCGCACCCCAGGATTGTTAAACGGCGAAGACTTTATCTTTTATCTTATCTCACAACCTGGGTGGACTACCTACCTAATCACTTTGCGTAGTTTCTCGTGGCTAACTATCATTCCTGTTATTCAAGGCGTCCACCTTTCCCCTTATTTCAGCTTTAAATCCTGTTAACCTTAAAATTCACCCTCCAGTCGCCACTGACACAAAATAAGGGACGAATAGTGAATCCTCAAGGTGTTCTCATTCAGTCTTAACCTCTCGTGGCTGAAATCACTTCACGTGTCTTCTTCCTACGAGAGACCGCCTTGCAGGAGAGGACAGACGACGAGCGTACACGCCCATCTCCCGGCGACGGCCGGCACACGTCATAACCGCCTCGTCGTCTAATTCTCATAGCTAGAGAAATTTCGGTTGACATCTGCCCCGTAACCGCAAATCGGCTCTGATGAGCAGCACAGAAACGCAAACAGCTGTCACTTTCTCAATGATTATTTTTACATTATGCCTGTGTATTTAAGTAATGAAGTTGTTTTGGTTTTAATTTTGCAACTCCGCGGTTAATTTTTTACTTCTTGTTTTTGTCGCTTATTCGATTTGCCTCCGTTGGCGCTTCCCAGTTTTCGAGATGTTTCTTTTTCAGGTTTAGACTTCCTTGGATGACCACATTTCAAATCCCTGGCTTGGATTATGGAAGCGATAACAGTTCACCAGAACCCGAGGAGGAGCCATTGGTCAGTGGATAGCTCTCGTTTTTTTGTACGCATTTTTGTAAGTTTTAACTACAGTACTTTGATCAGCGTTGAAATGGAAGTGTTTTGTATTTTCCCAGAGGCAGCTTCGTTGTTATGGTCATCATTCTAGAAACAATAGCACACAACATTCGTTGTCCAACAAACATTTTTTGGGATACGCTGCGCACCGGACTTCAGCTCAGAGTCGCTATCGCTTCGTTCACGCGATCCAATCACTCGAGCGATTCGATTGCAAAGTATGAACGCGTTTTACCGACTTCGGAGCGGTAGAGTGATCGATTACACTGGGCCAAATTGTTTGAAATAGTCCTCGGACTTGAGCAAATGGTGGTGTCCTTCCTTGTGCAAGTATGTGGTCATCGGCCTCTGAGATTATTCCACTTTGGTGGCTTTACAATAAATACTAGAGACGCTGCGGTCCTCATAAGTTCCCTAGTTATCCCGCCCACCAGAACTCATACTATTTTGTCACGAGTTCGATTTTCATTCCGCATTTTGACATTTCCGCTACTATTTACATGTAGTGAGCACTGGATGACGCGAAGGAACGATTAGTGAGCCAGGATGGCAGGCCCTCTGCTGGGATGAAACGAGCAATTTCGGAAAACTCGTCCATAAAGGCTGCAAGGCCCTTACTGAAGGTGTTTTCCATGTGTTTTTTGCGACCATGGCATTGAAATTGAACGCCACTTCCACAAGGTGCAACCGCGGGATTCGCCTTAAAGACACATGGTACGCTCAAACCATTGAGGGTGTATGAGACTATCAGCCCCCCAGCTGTCGATGTGTCGTGGTCCCCCCGCCCAAAACTGCACGGGGTCAGAGTACGGGGCCGTGGGAAAGTCGTAATTCCTTGCTACGCCGCCGTTTCGCCTCACGTTTTACTAACACCGTCCGCGCGGCGCGGTCGCGTGCAGCTCTCTTGGCTTTTTGCCAAGTCCTGTAATTGCGCTTTGGAATACAAGTACAACGCAATTTTTATGCGGATAACATTTTAGGTGCTGCAAAATAAGAACCGAAGATGATGACGAGGGCTAGAACTCAAGAGCAACTGTGGTGCTTCTGCAATATCCCTCAGAGGCCGCGCATTCCCACAGAACATGACAATAAAAACGGCCTAAGCGTCCCACTCGTTAGTTTGAAGTATTTCTATAGCTTTAGAGCCGGATTCGAGCCGGATCGCAGAAATGCACACGTGGTTTTAATTTATTGCGTTTCCTTAGTTTTTTCAATTTTGTTTTATTTACATCTACATTCGTTGTTCTTCATTTCTAGCCTTTGTCATCTTCATCACCTTCTATTCGGACTTTGAAGCATGAGCAATACCTCAAATGTTAGGAAATTGCGTTTTGCTTGTATTGTCATGTTTTATTGTCATGTTGTCCGTTTTTATTGTCATGTTCTGTGGGAATGCGCGGCCTCTGAGGAATATTGCAGAAGCAGCACAGTTGCTCTTGAGTTCTAGCCCTTGTCATCATCTTCGGTTCTTATTTTGCAGCACCTAAAATGTTATCCGCATAAAGAAATTGCGTTGTACTTGTATTCCAAAGCGCAATTACAGGACTTGGCAAAAAGCCAAGAGAGCTGCACGCGACCGCGCCGCGCGGACGGTGTTAGTAAAAACGTGCGAAACGGGCGGCGTAGCAAGGAATTACGACTTTCCCACGGCCCCGTACTCTGACCCCGTGCAGTTTTGGGCGGGGGACCACGACACATCGACAGCTGGGGGGCTGATAGTCTCATACACCCTCAATGTGTTTGAGCGTACCATGTGTCTTTAAATCGCATCCCTCGGGACGACCATACGGTTCATTAAAGCTGCTTGTTGATGCCATTCGCCTAAAGGGAAATATTCTAAGTGTTTGAAAATCAGAAAATCAAGAAAATGCGCCATATTCATTCGCGTTGGAGTAGAGGTAGAAAACCCTCTGCCACGAGTTCGCTCAATCGTTTCCAGCAAGTTCCCTCCAGTTTTTGCTATTTCGCCATGAAATTTACTTCAGTCACATCTGCTTTTGTGTTTGTCGTTGTTTCAGCATTGGTTTGATAGCATTTATTGTCACAGGAAAGCCACATGTGCATCGATTGCTATAGCATCGCGATGAAAATCGTTCAACAGCCGAAAGGGACGCCTCTGGCGGATAAATACCTAGCCGTACACGAGCTGAGCAGTGAGTTTGTTTTAAAGTGAGATTTGTTTTACATTTCACTCAAATTATTTTGCGATTTACTTGCGCTGCTTTTCTGAGCCCTGTTCTCCAGCATTTCGTCAAATTTTGTCCCCGGAAATAGACTCTGTCAGAAGTTCAACCATCTTGACCATTGGGAGTTGTTCAGAGGGTCAACTATTATACGCCTCTGGACCCAATCCTTGCTCCCAGGTTAACCATGGATACGTTTTCAGTGAACTAGATGGTAGTGCTACTCTGAAATCGCCGCCCGAGTCGCACGACGTGAGCAGCGTGACCTGGTGAGCTCACAATAGAATCGCCCATCTCCCATGACGGTGACGTTAATGATCATATAAGAGCAGAAGACGGGCGATTCCACCGTGAGCTCATAAGAACAGACAACCACGGATGGCGAGTAGCGTGGCAGTTTTGGAGCAGCGTTACCGTCTGGATTAGCTAAAACTGAAAACATTTGCTCTTCTGAGATAAGCGATTTGCTTCAGCTCACGGCCCCGGCCACCATCCTATTCGTTCCATGAAACAGCACAACTCGTACGCAACGGATGCGGCGTCTCCAGCAACGCCCACAAGCGCGGCAGCCCACGAGGAAGCCCAAGATTGGAGTCGCCAATTTATGCCGTTATAGCGTGCCTGCGCACTTAATAAGAAAAGAAGAGTTTTTCGGAGACGTGCGTCAAAAGTAACTAGTGGCTCTCTACATCTCTCTCGCACTTCCTAGGTTATTTCGTTAAGCCCGAGGCTCCTTGATGGAGGGGGGGGGGGCGAATAGTAACGCAGAGTATCTATAAGTTCCACTGTATGCCGCAAATGTAGCGCTCATTTTTTTTACCCAGAATTCTTCATTCTTCATTGAGATACAGCTGAATGCTAGTGTTTCAGGTGAGGAAATAGTTCGTTTCGGTAACGCGTTAGAGGAAACCGATATCGATCCCGAAGGCGACGATTTTATTCGTAAGTTCTATCCTGACCTGATCTTGCATGAGCGTTAACCATGTGAGGTGATTGCAGATTGTGATCGATGTAACTGTTATTATCGTGCCTCATGTAAAGAGCACCCTCTTTTCTGGGTGAAGGATCGAGAACCGGTTGGTTTCCAACGCTTTTGACCAGGTTCCATCCATAGCAGGTCTGAGAACGAAACAGAATGCAGCGCCACATTTTCCCCCTGATTCTCTGATGTTCCAGAGTAAAAACTCGAAGCCAGAAGATCGTGCTCGGATGACCGCACCGGCTTTCATTAGCATCAAAACCTCGTCAATACCCAACGCAGGACTGGGAGCATTTGCCGAGGCCTGTATTCCTGTAAGTCGTCACTTCAACAAAATAGCTCCGACGCAGTTCGGCTTGGGAGGGGCATTGCGCTAGTTTCCATCGATCACTGAAGATGCTCTTGTTAGGAGTTGTAAACTCCTGTATGACTATGCAGCAGCAAAGGCTCCCTCTTGACAAGACTGGACAAGTCTCATCAAGATATGGCGTGTGATTGAATAGGAACTATCGATACAAAATGCCCCTCCCAAGTCGAATGCTGCAGCGCGTTTTTAGCCTTTGTACAAAGGCTATATCATACAGGTTGGTATGGTATTTGGTCCATATCAAGGCATTCTCTTGGATGACGCTTCTGAAGCGGAGAAAGACGGTTACTGTTGGGAATTACGGTAATGGTTAATGGTGTTTTGGCATTCTTGTGGCATTGATTTGACTCTTCTTCTTGTTTTTTTTCCATAATCTTATGATTGTTTTTTCTCTAGAAGTCATACTGGTCCGCACTTCATCGATGGTAGTAATACGCAGTATTCGAATTGGATGCGATATATTAACAGTTCTCGACGTAAGCAGTGATTACTTTTGCCTTCGCAGCGTTTATTTTTGTGCACAACGTATTCATAAGTTTTGCCTCCAACCCAGAGGTTTCTGGAAGGTTCTAATTAGCAGGATTAGAGTTGCGCTCAAGATTTTGCTGATTGGACAGTTTCATGGCCTTTTGTTAAATGGGCTTCGAATGAGAACTAGCGATTGAGAGGACCTTTTATTAAGACATTCATCGAGCTTGACTGTGCAATTTTCATCCTACCCGCATATTGTGCTCGGAGCATGTCGTACGGTGTGAGATCCTCGCGGGTGTTGTATTCCTTCGGTGATGGGAGATGAAGCGCATTTGGCCCGAGAATATTCTTTCCTGGTAGTTGATTTTTCCTGTCTCACGCGCGCGGGTAGGAAGTTGGGACAAGTTGGCAAGATGGTAGGTAGTATGGGGAAAGCGGGGGGGGGGTCATACCAGCTGTGCAAGTTCGGGAGAGGGGTATTTTCCAGAAACTTCCCCTGCAGACAGGAAGTGCTCTTATTGTGCTCCCTACGCGGCCTGGAATCAATATCCATTCAGTGCCTGAATTAATTTGAAGCCCTGAAGGGAACACTGTCTAATAAATTGCACCCCCTTCCAGTCAATATGTGATAGATCTTAGTATAACGTGTTTTTGTTCAAAGGAACATCACGGTGGCCTGAGTAATTGAGCCTGAGACTTCAGAAGTTGTTTTAAGAGGCTAATCGTCAAGTATTCCACACTGCTCTTCAACACTCTCGTAATCAGGGTGCAGTATCGTTGTGCGAAAGCCTTCAGGGGGTCTCTTTGGTCGCTGGGGAAGAAGCGTTGTAATCGGCTCCGGAAAGAATTTCCCCGAAGTTTCGTTGATTTTTCCCTTTCTTGCGGGCTATATATCCGCCCTGCTCCTAGTTCGCGGTGCAGCAGAGGCACTCCGTGATTCTAAGGTTGACGTTTTGGAAGAACGCGCGTATTGCTCCAAATGTCAATTGCCGAGTTTTCTCGTAGAACGGTGTCCGCGCTGATCGATAGTCATTCACCGCATTTATTTCGGCGCACATTCTCCCACGACACTTTCTCAGAATAAGACCGCAGCCTAAGTCTGTGTTTATCAGTTGAGAATGCTTCCCGCTAGAGCCTTCTGTACCTGAGAGGCACGATAAACCTCAGCTTCAAGTTCAGCGAAAAAGTCTGACCATCGGATCAGGGATCACAGCTTCTTGATTCGCTCACAGAGCTGCTTTGCAGAAGGTGTGTAACAAGACAGTCGTGCTGGTGGGCATGGCGAGCTACGCTGCGCCCGCGAGACGAATTGTCTTGCCTAATTCTTCCTGGATTCAAATGTTAAAGGGACCCTGAGTTTCGCTGCTTCCATCGACAAGCTGATGCTCATCGAGAATGTGCTGCCCATCGCCGCACGATACGTCGCGCGACGGCGCGGGACCATAACGCTTGTCTAGTCCCTTTCCCCTTTGTTGTTACGTTTTGCGTCCCTTTTGCAGCTTCAAGAACAGCTGAGGTCCTATTTTGAATGACTATGACAACCTCACGTCCTTAGTTGACATTCCTGCAGAATCAGTCCTTAGTGGACGACTTTTCGCCGACAATGATGAACAAGTTTTTGCTGTTTGTAGGGTTCCTCAAAAGATAAAAATCGGTGTTCAGGGAACATTTACGTTATCAAGATCGTTCTGGCGTTCCACGGACTGAAGGTTTAAACACTTTCAGACGACAAGGAGCAGAACCTGCTAGCGTTCCAGTACTGCGGTGGAGTGTACTATCGAGTAATCCGGCCGATCACAATCAAGGACGAACTCCTAGGTGGGAAGAATCGCTGCCTCCGTATTAATCGCCTTCGATGATTCTTCTACTTTCTTGTCATTACATACCTTTCTACACATTTATTCTGAATAGCATTAGAAACTTTACTTATGAAGAAATATAGACCATTTTTGGCATATCATGTGATGAAACACTGGTATTTTCGCTGGATTATTGAAGTCATTGGTTAGATTAGTCGTGTAAATATGGGAGGCACGGTGTAATGTTACTCTTTGGCTACTACTTTGCCTTCGTCCTTTCATTTCTGAGTTCTTTTCAACTTTTATTCCTTTCACTTACGGTTACTAACTTCTCTTCGCTGTTTTCCTTCTCAACCGGTAGTAATTGAATGACTAGTTAAACTCTATGCAATAAAATCTTTTCTTTTCTTAGAAGTTTTCTCAATTACGTGTACAGTCTGTCACCACCACCACATATTTTGTTTTAGTGTGGTACGGTAAGAAGTTTGGCAAAAGTCTCGGCGTTTTCACGACATTGCGCTCTATCAAGAAGCCAGTCACGGCCGCTAACAAGAACCCGTTCATCCTCTAACGCTAGGTTGGTACGTTTCTATGGTTATGTCTCAAGTAAAGGGTGGTGGTGACAGTTCATTGTTTCTGGAGGTTTTGTTGAAAACAGCGAAGTGTCAAAAGATTTTTTAAAACTCGCTATACAGTTGCTAGAGGAGTGAGTTCTTCTCTTGCGCGAGGTAACCGTGGTTATTTGATGTCCATTTTGTCCTACCTGCTATTCACCACGCAACACGCAATACGCACAGCACAGTTACGCCATACGAACAGTTACACGTCTGTCCAACTGCGCCCTCTCACGGGTAGTTGCTACCGTTGCGTGAATGTGGTGCGAGTATTGCGCAGTATGTCTCCCCTGTTGGTGTATAGCGCTGAGTCACAACGAGCGCAACTGAAGAGGCTTTGCAAGCGGGGTGACGCACGCGTTCGTCACATGACCCGTTTCACCCAACGTGATCCGCTCGCAACGCTCAAAACGATGGCGTTTCTTTCAAGATGCTCGATCGATTTCTTTAGTTTTCGTTTTCCCTAAACGATCAAAACACACCCGCCAATGGTATGCACGGAAACGGTCCACCTGTCAGGCAGCCGAGCAATACGCGCAGCACATTCACGCCACACGGACAGCTGGACGCCCTCTATGTCTGCACCCTCTCACGTATGGCCGCCCGTAATGTTTCTTCAAAGGGAAATCTAATATATTAGTGAATGACCAGTGACCATAATGTCCTGGTTTCCATGGATTTTCACGGGTAGGGTGTAGGATATTATGGCATGAATTATGTGCCCTCTCAGTAACTTCTAGATGCCCTTCCAAACGCATTCTAAATGCCGTTCGTTTTGCTACAAAGGATGGAAGCCACATTGTGAACGTTTATTGCACGTGTAATGAAGTGTACAGCGTTAATGTCATGGTAAGCAAAGCAAGGAAACGGTAATGGTCCGTAAAACATTGATTAGAAGGAGAGCTTAAATCAGTTATAAACGTGAAAATTTTGAAAACGATGGAGCTGACGAGATAATTGAAGGTGTAAGTGAAAAAGCGACGTGTAGGTAACCATCGACTTCAGGGAGAAACGGAATCTATTGATCGTGGTGGACTGACACAGGGGGAAGATTGTTGGCTCTGGAACAATATTTCGCACTTACTTTACTTAACCAAAAAATTGAAACGGCTAGTTGCGCGTTCATACTTCGCGATCTAAACGATCGAACTCGAGCAATCCGATCAGGCGGTCAGGTCACGATGTATGAATGCACTTTATAATGGAAACCATGAGTTCGGGCAGCGATAGCTCACTTTTGCCTTTTTACGCTGTGCATCCAATTGTCTTCTTTCCGTTTTTGCTTGGCAAGCAGCCATTATATCCTCGAGAGGAGTGGTGCTTGTCGGCACGAGTCTGACTCGTGGTGGTTTCGACGGTTGGTGGTGCAGCTCCGCGGGCTTGAGGTAGTAACCACGTTCTGTACAAGGGAACTGATTACATACGTAATGGAAGACTTGAAAGAAACTATTCTGTGACAGTTTGACTCACCAATGATCGAAAACCGCTCGTTGAGGGTGACATGCCGATTTGAATAGTTTGAAGCGCGTTCGGGAAGCTTCACGAAGTTTCTTTGAATGGCAGCACGGCCTTCGATCGGCTCGATAGTGTAACTAACAGCAGTCATTTCTTAGCGATTTAGAGTGATTCTCTGAAAGACTCAGGTAAAGTTCCAAATGGCAGTGATTCAGAGAATAAGGACTCGGACAGAATTCATCTAATTCTAAGACCGGCGAAAAAGTTTTGTGAGAAACGAGGCTACGAAATGTTCATTCCAAAAGGACAGAAAACTCGGAAGACCCAGATATGCCCTTTAGGATACTGTTACAGCTACAGTTCGATGCCTGGAACCTTCGCCGAGTTCTCTCAGCCAGATAATAACGGTGCGCTCAAGCTGCGTTCATGCTTTGCGGCAGCGACTAGGAAAGTATAGATAGCGATCTAGCGAAAGCCAGCGTCCGCTAGCGTTTTCGCGGGCAGTTCACTCTAATTCGAAAAGGCCCGCGAAAACGCTGCTGTACTCTGGTTCTCGCCGACTTCGCAGGTCGATACCTACACTTTCTTAGTCCCTCGAGATGCTGGCGTTCGCTAGACCAGTACCTGAGTTTCCGAAGTCGCTCGAAGCGCTCCCGCACGTTCAGAACGCTGACGCGATGTATGAACGCAGTCC